AGGACAGAGTCAGCAAAACATGTGAAATCTTCAGTGTCATAGAATGACCCAGTAACTAAAAGATAAAAGCAATTATGAGGTGGCACAGAACCAGGGAGCACTGATTCTATTATGCAGAAGGTCACTAGCCGTGGCAGCCAGCATGGTGGCAACTAACGAACAGCCAACAGCAACTTACTCTCAACATGTCATTGTGTACACTCTGGCTTTTCTACTCAACTGTTGTCTACAGAACTCTTTTCTCTTGACTCTTCTCCCACTGTCTCCCTACTACTCAGCATACTCAAGAAATACATGCAAGGAACAATGTGAACATAGTAAATGGCAGAAGTCTAAGTGCCATTCTGCAGTCTTGGTATTCCTTCATGGAGAAATGTTGAATTTCCTGCATCTGAGGATTGTTTTTGAGACTGTAAACCGGATTAGTATGTCACTGCTTAGCATGTAGGTGTCTACAGATGTTACCTGTGGTTTCATTCTAGGGATGTTGTTATGTGTCATTAAGTATAAATAGACTCATCACTGGCCCGTCAGTGGGTTTTCAGAGAACTGTGTGCCTTTGGGTTGGCAGTGCAGCTCCTTATCACTAGACTTCTGGGAATGTTATTGTTATTTATTAGGTACCCATTGCATCCTAACTGACCCGTAGTTGACCCCCCAGTGAGTTTTCAGAGGCAGCTGATCGCATGGGAGGAGACTGCTCATCTTTCTCTTGCAGAGCCGCTGGTGAATTCAATCAGTATATCTTTGAACTGGCAGCAAAATTCCTTCCCACTAAGCTGCCAGAACTCCTCTTCCAGGGATGAAGCAATAAAAAATAAGGCTCATGATGCTTATTCTAAATCAGTAAAACAAAATACTCCCCCAGGAGCACAACACCAGATCCATTGATGATGGTATAATTTCTGCAGTGAAGCATCTGTCAACATCATGCCTGGTCCTACCACTCTAAGGTAGGAAAAGAAAATAAAAAATTGACCCTAGCCAATCAGATTTGGAATCCACAGCTTAAAAGGTGGATTTTATTTACCAATGAATAGATCAGATCCTCTATGTGTTGCTCTTACAGATAAACTTTTATGTAGGTTATGACTCACAGTGACCCTGTGAACAGTGGACGTTTCCGTCTTTTCCTGTGCCATCCTTACCAACTCTGATACACTAAAGCTCACCATTACAATCCGTGTCAATCCAACTCATTGAAGGTCTTCCTCTCTTTCGCTTACCCCCACCTTTTTTTTAAATTTTAAATTGATTTTAATGAAAGTATACAGAGACTTTGGATTTCCATTCATTCATTGTTTCATGACCCTCTACCTTTCCAAGCATGATGTGTTTCTCTAAAAACCGGCCCCCTGTAACAACCTGCGCAAAGTATGTCAGATGAAGTCTCACTGTCCTTGCCTCTAAGGAGCATCCTGGCTGTACGTTTCCAAGACATATTTGTTTGTCCATTTGGCTGTCCATGGTATTTTTCAGCAATTTTCTCCAACACCACAAGTCAAAGGCAAATTGTTCTTCTGTCATCCTTACTCATTGTCCAACTTTCTTCACAATTGTAAATTGAAGGGTCTGATTTTTATAGGAACAGGGAGTTGCACTGCTAACCCCGAGGTCAAGCCTCTCTGGCTGTTCAAACCCAGCAGTGATTCTGTGGGGAAAGATGAGCAATCTCCTCCCATGCAATTTGCAGCCTCTGAAGACACACTGGAGGGTCAGCTATGAGTCGGTTCTGAATTGACGGTAATGAGACAGGCATGGATCTTGGTGCCTTTCTGTTGTGCCTTTATTCTGGTGCCTGCATTCCTAACATTTTTCTGTTTCCTGATGAAATTTTGCAAAGGATAAGGATACTTAAATGTAAAGGAGCTCTGGTGGCCTAGTGGCAAGAAGCTGCACTTCAATCCCAAAAGCATGTGATTTGAGGCCACCAGCTGCTGTGTGGCAGAAGAATGGACAATCTCTCCTGTTCAATTAACTTCCTCTGAAAACGTGCTGAAGGGTCATCTACAGGTCAGTTCTGAATCTACGGTACACAACAACTTAAATGTAGTGTGTTATTTCCTCTGAATACCCCACTATGCTTTTTTTTTTATAGGAAGGTCACTTTTGTTAGACCCATGGCTACAGAGTAATAACAAGAGTAGCGGAAAACAGGTTATGTAGAAACAAGATGAAAGGAGCTATTTCCTCAAAGTGTATATTTTAACGTACTTTTCCAGTCACATTTAGTAAAGGCATTGCATGTTTTTTCTCATTAGAAAAATACTACATTTAAGATATATCTTGTGTTAATTGTTATTGTTGTTAAATGCCATTGAGTCAAATATGACTCATAGAGACCCTGTGGGCAAAAGACAATTTGTTAACTACAGTCTGAAAATAGGTACACACCAAAGCTAAAGTGCTTAAATTAATAGAAAAATTCTCTAAGACAGAAAACAACGAATTCTGGTAAAGGTGTAGAAAGATTGGAATTCTCACAAACAGCTGGCTGAACTGTAAAATGGCAAACTACTGTATCTCCTGTCCTTAAAAAGTTAAGAATAGAAATATCATTTGTTAAACAGTTCCATTACCAAGATATATCACAAAATAATAAGAGCTGGGACACAAATAGGTATTCATTATTTACAATAATAAAGAAATGGAAATAATTTAAGTAACCATGGACAGATAAATGGATGTGCTATGGCACATACACAATCGAATACCATTGTGTGTCATAGATGAATCTGGAGAACATTATGTTGAATAAAGTAAGTCACAAAAAGACAAATACTATGAATAACTATACAAATAGAACAAAGCATTCTCTGATTATTACCAGGGATGAGAGGGGAAAGAAATTGAAGATAAATCAGTAATTATACAATATACACATAGTAAATTGGGTTAAATCAAAGTTTCTCTAAAATAAGGGATGCTTTGTATATCATTAAACAAAAGAAAGACATTAGCGTTACAAGCAATAGGCCATTACATACACAACTCTACAGAATCAGAAGTAGCAAACATTAATCTATAAACAGATACACAGACAGACAGACAAAATAAACAGATATGGCTGAATGAAAGGCACCATTACGTCCATGATTGTGCACTGGTTTGGTGGATGGTATTTCAACATGAGTATCCGCATGTGCTGCAAATACACAGTCACAAATGCAGTAGAGCAAAGAGGAGGCATAGCACATAAGCTTCTTTATCATAACCAAGAATCCTGAAGGAATGAGTCACTTGTCCTCGGCCTCATGACCACAGTCTTAGGGACATCAAGTTCAATCAGCATAATACAAGGACAGTGTTTTACACTTCACATTGGTGAGTAGTGACTGGGAACTTAAAAGCTTGGAGGAGGCCATCTAAAGTGCATTGGTCTCTGGAGCAAAGAGGAGTGAAGGAAATCCACAACACAGGGAAAAAACTAGTCCATACTTAACAGACTTTCAAACCTCAACTTGCATGAGATTTAGATGCAATGGCTACCACTGCTATCTGCTCTGAAAGGGGTCACAGTAGAAGGTCTGAGATAGAGTGGGAGATAAATGTAGAACAAAATGAAAAATATCACAAAAATGACAGGGTTACTGGCATGTATAAGACTGGTGCAATGTCCGAGTCTACGGACCTTAGTTGCTCTTTGATCTAGAACTGAACTCATCCTGTGACAAACAACAGACAAACCTGCAGGGTGACCAGTCACCGCAGAGAGGTACTCTGTCCTTGGAACATTAACTCAGAGGGTCACAAGGGCCTATCTGTCCACGGATGACGTGAAAATGTAGGAAGATAGAGGGTGGAAAGAGGAAACACAGAAAGGCAGTGGGAAGGGTGATGATGCAATGTGGGCTGGGAAAACAAAATATTCACATGAACAGTTGGATGGATTACCAATCTGTCCTGCAAACTTTCACTCAAATCACAATGAAAAGTTAAGAAAAAAAAAACAAACCCAAAGTGCTTAGACTGGAATGGATAGAAACCTAAAATGATGTGAATATTTTAAAATATGTTCTCTTTTCTAGTACTCTGTGGGATTTTAATAAATTAAATTTAGTGGTGCAGATTGAAAATGATAAGAGGAGTCATTATGATGTGGTGATCTGAACCACTGTAATAAAGGCTGTTTTCCATCGTCCAGTCAGGGCATCTTGGAGACTGGGAAGTGTAGGCGGCCTCTGGCTGGCTCAATTCTATAGTCCATTCAGTGAGCACAGCTGTGTATGTAACCCAGGGTCAGTAAGCTATAACCCCGGGCCAAATCTGGGGCTTGTTTCTACACTTTTTTCAAACTAAGAATGATTTTCACATTTTCTAAGAGTTGAGAAGAAAATTTTAAAAAAGAGTAACATTTAGAGACATAAAGATTATATAATACTCAAATTACAGCATGTATAATAAAATTGTATTAGAACTCAGCCATTTGTATTGTTGTATATGTTTTGGATGGTTTGCTTTTATGCTATAGGGACAGAGCTGAGTAGTTGTAACAGAGACTATATGGCTAGAAAGTAAAAATTACTTACCATCTGGCCATTCACAGAAATAAAAATAGCCAGTATCTGGCTTCACTTAAAACCTGAAATTATGTAAATTCTACATTTGTTTAAAGATTGTGTCTGCATTGTACCAAACTCCCCTATGACTGGAAAATCACTCATGTGTGATTTAATGATCAGGGAATAATGGGAATATTGTCCTAGGAATGCATGCATGAAATAGTTGGTTCGGGAGGGGTAATTTGACCAAGAATATTTCTGATTTTTAAAAACATAAACCAGAAAAAAATTAAAAAAAAAACAAAACATAAACCAGAAAACCCCTAGACATTTTCAAACCTGCTCACCCCGGCCAGAGGTGTCTGTGCACTGAATTCGATGATTCAGACAGAGCTCCCAGATGGGTTTAAACACTAGGAGAGGTACTGAGGCGTGTTGAATGCGACTTTGGTTATCTTACCAGGATGAGATTCATTCCCATGGAAAACAAAAGCGCACCTGGACGAGTCTCTGCCACCACAGGCCCAGCCAGGTCAGACGGCTTCCCAACACCAGCCTGGTTTATGGCACGGATGCGGAAAACGTAGCTGACACCCTCCTTGAGGCCCTGCACCTGGAAGAAGTAGGTAGAGAGAGGCAGTGGGTGTTCGCTTTACCTGTGACACTGGTCACTTGGCTGAAAGAGTCCAGGGCACAACTTTACCTTTAGACCTTTTGCTCCCTGGACCAATTGCAAATCGTAGATGAAGACACTTAAGACCTCTTCCTACACATTTTTGAGACTGTTTAGTGGCCACCAACAACAGAAGCTAGACTGGTTTAAATGAATTATTTCCTTATTCTTTGGTCAAAAAGACAGCATAAAAGTACACATAGTATATATGCTGCATTTTTCTTTATTCTTTTGAACTGCTTTATGAATAATCATAATTTTTGTGATGGTCTTTGGATTTAGCCCAGTCTCTCATTGCTTCAAAAACTATTAATCTTTTCTTTTTTTTAAAAAAAAATCAAGATTTCATTAAAAAATGTGCTCCTTTGAAAAGGTATACTGTTTAGTTGTTTGGATTTTTTTTTTTAAGAAGAAATTTATCACACACTGGGCCTCCTTTCCCCCCTCATATATTGTGATGTAGACCAGTAGGACTTATTTATCCAGAATTATTTGAATCAGAATGAATGAAAAACTTCACTCAACTAAAATAAAGCCCAAAAAATATTTAAATCAAGTAAAGCCAGAATTCAATTCAATTAAGTGAAGCATTTGTGATCATATATTTAAAGGAGCAACATTGTTAGATTTTTAATCTAATTATTTGATAGCATTGTCATTACAACAATGGAATACCACTACTCATGTAATAATAGCTTCAACTGGAGCCTATTTGAAATAGCTTTCAATGTATAAATTAGCTTAATTTTAGGCACAGAGTAAATGCACACTTTGGTGTACTTAAACTCGAAGTTTGGAAAAGCGTTCAAGGAAACTGTGGCTTTTCCTTGTTGTGATAAAAATAGACTGATGGCCAGGTGTCTGACACATACACCTGACTCTTAGGTAATAGCAGTCTGCACAAAGATTTGAGTCAGGCTTTTACAACATAGAGAAGGAAGTATATCCACATAGGTGTTCAGTCGCTGGTATGACAGGGTCAATGACCACTTACTCCAACAGCATCATATACTTTACACCTGTCAACTTTGCTTTTCTTGGATTTTTTTTCCCCCTTTCTCTATAATTTATGAAAGAATTAGTTTTCTTGCTCTTCCCATCTGGCCTCTTCCAAGTATTCACCCCTTTTATCACTTTGTTGATATAGGTTGTGATTACCAGTTAAAGGGGAAAAAATAAAGAAGCTTGATTAAATCTTTTTGGTTGAAAGGTATATACCTTCAGCTTTAGACACATCAGGGCACATGGTGTGGAAATGAATGTGGATGCTTCTGACAGAGGCCAGCTAGCCTATTATACTTTGGCTAAAAGGATACTAAATTCTCCCATTAGTGAAACTGTATCTCTCCTATGCTCATTTGAGTTTATCCAAATTGACTTAATTATTATTGTTAGTTATTTGAGTCTACAGTATATGCTTGAACAATTTTTTAATACATATGTATCAATGAATATACATTGAAATGGACTTGGAGAGTACAGGATATTTTTCACTTTCTTCTTTATACATTTATTATTTTATTTTACTGTTAACTTGTATGTGTTAATTCTAGAGCTAAAATTAAAATGTCTATTTCATAAAGTGTGGCTAAAACAAGTCAATGGGACCTACAGACCTTGTAAAAAGTTCATCTCCAGGTTTATCAGTGTCACTTTCTTACTCTTAAATTTCCCTCACTGATGTTTCTTTTTCATAATGAATGACATAACTGTTTTTGATATGTTTAAACTTGGTCTGACATTCCCCCCCCCGCCCCCCCCCCGCTGTCTGTCTGAGGACTTTGTCCATTTCTGTGGGCAGTGGGTCTCCTTGGCTTAGTATCCTATTCTTACTTGGCCTCTCCTGGCTAGAGACCCTCCTCAGACTCTTGAGATCCCATGCAAAGGCAGACTGATGAAGGTTTGGACATCCTATCCCAGCTTTATACGCATATCACCACCATCAAGGTATTTATATTCTTTGGGAGCTTTTCTCTGAATCCAGAAGCCTCTTGATTTATCCCAACAACCAATTATTAGCATCCTATATGACAGGCTTCCTTGACCATTTCCATTTCTCATAAAATGTTTCTTTTCTTATTTCTTCAGGCATTTGGAAAGGGCTAGAGAGCTGACTGGCACAAGCCAACTTGAATTAATGGCATATTGGATCTAAGGATTTATGAGCAATCTGTTCTGCAGGATAAATCTACACTTTTGTAAGGACTTTAATTGCCTTCACCTCTAGAGTGGTTGATGGATGGCGTGGATGTACATCTGCCAGACCCTCAGAGTCTCTGTGACCTATCTGATGCACAGTGGCTCATTTTGCCAACAACTAGATGCAATGCACAGCTTCTGTCTGTTATAAGAGATGAAATCATATTTTCCAGAGTTCTGAGGACATGCAATGGGCACAGAGCCTCCACATGTCGCTGCTGACACAACAAGTTAAGTGTTGTGCTTACTGAAACAACAAGTTGATGGTTGTAGAACAGTTTTTGGTAGGTGGAGTTAGGAATTAGTTCCACTAGAAAACACCGGAAGAATGCAGAGGTCAGTGACGTGAATAAAGGTGAAGATGAGGTCAAGAGTTGAGCAGTTCTCCTCCACTAATCTTTGAGAATGCACTTTAGCTCAAGCACAGAGGAACGAGAGAGAGCACGTCTCAAACGAATCTGCAGTAAACCTGATAATGTTAACCGCTGTGACTTTAAAAATTGTTGTTGTTGTTAGGTGTCATCAAACTGACTTTGACTCATGGGGACCTTGTGAACAACGGATCTGAACCATGCCCCATCCTGCACCATCCTCACATCTCCAATCTACTTGAACCCATGGTTACAGTCACTGTGTCAGTCCCTGCAAGGGAGGGTCTTCCTCGCTTTCTCTGACCCTCCACCTTTCCCAGCTTGATGAGTTGACTGTAAAAATAGCACCCTCAATTTAAAAAAAAAATATAGAAGGAATGAGAAAGTTACCTTTTGAGGTGGAAAGCAGCAATATTTTAACCCTAAGTAACAAAAATGCAAGCTAGAAAAGTTAGAGTAAGGAGGGACAGAGAGAGGGAAGGAGACATTCTCCAAAGTGGATCTAATCACTTTACACTCAAGACACCAAATGGCTTGAAGCAGCAGGAATGTCCCTCAATTCCAACCACCAATTGGGACTTTACAAAAACCCCATAATATGGAACAGACCTGTGCAGAGCCACTCTGCTTCACGGTGTTTGCTCTGAAGGTAACGTAGTAGAGTAAGGACTTCTCTGGAACCTGAGCACCTTCTTACCTTCAGGTACTTGTTTTTGATAGCTGCCTCATTGAGTCCTCGCCACTGGTCATCTTTAGCACTGGCTTCCTTCAAGTCCACAAAGTATCCAGTCACCGGGGTCCGCCCTGAGTAAACTGGAGGCTTCCACTGGAGGACCAGGGAGGTCTTCCTGACTTCACTGTACTTGAGATTGTGTGGAGGCCCTGAGAGTGAAAGCAACAAGCAGAAGCCACAGATCAGGTAAGAAGAGTAACACACGTCCCCCTAAGTACCACAGCTGAGGCCTTAACGTGGACTCTGATGCCTAGCAGCCCCATTAAATAGGTACTTTTGTGGTCTTCCTCATGTTAACTTCCAACAATTCCTCTCTATCAACCTCTAGTATCCCTCACTGGGTGGATAAGGGGCCACTCGGGGTCTGGTTAAACTTTCCTTCAGGCTCTTCTTAATCTTGCAAATTTGCCTGTATGTAAACATTTTATCAAAATAATTTAGCTGTAGATTCAGTTTCTAATATTCTTTAATGGTAATAAGAAAATTCTTCTAAATATCTATTAGCATGAAGAAAGAAATTCTATTTGATGGCAGACGAATACTTGTTCCAAAGGCAGAATGAACATGTCACAAAATAGCACTCAAATGAGAGAGAACTATTTCTCCTAAATCATATATTTCATTGATAGTGAAGAGAAAGGACATTTTCTGGTTTACAAAGAACAACTGACAACTTAAATAGTATTAAACCTGTGGACCTTGAATTTGTGCTAAACACTTCCAAGTACTGTTAATTCATTCACTCCATTCACCTCTAAAAGCAAGTAAACAAAGCCAAGTCACAGGATGAGGTTCATCAGGTACAAAGTCAGAATTTGCACCATGTTCATACCCTTTGTCCTCCCGAGAGAATCCTAAACACCCAGTGATTTTGTCCCTCTTTGCATAACCACCAGTTGCCATGATGTTTAGTCATTGATTTCTCTTTCTTCTTCTTCTTAATAACTGCTTATTACTAACCAATCAATTATAATCCTGTGAACTGACTCATGTTGACCTGAAAGCAAACTGAAGTTTTTATCATGTTTTCTTTGGTGTTTTGCAATATACAGTTCAATGTTTATTTGGCCCTCTACCTTGGCAAAATGTTGGGATTTACAACACATCTACTACACTCAATAAATAACTTTCTACCCTTTGGCTCCCCAAAATTCATGTCCTTGCCACTTGCAAGGCACATTCACCTCATTACATTATCACAAAGTCTTAAGTCAATTCTAAGTCCAAAACTTCATATTCAGAATCATCTAAATAAAATAGATGATTTTAGGATTGGTGGAAGATCTATCAACAATCAATCTGTGTTATGCAGATGACACAACCCTGCTTGCTGAAACTGAGGAGGACCTGAAGTGCTTGCTGCAGAGGGTCAATGACTGCAGCCTTCAGTATGGATTGAGACACAATGTCAAGAAGACAAAGATTCTCACCTCTGGACCAACTGGCAGCATCAGGATGGATGGTGAAGAGATTGAGATTGTTCACAGCTTTAGTCTGCTTGGCTGAACAATCAACACTCTTGGCACCAGCACCCAGGAAATTAAAAGACATATTGCGATGGGAAAGTCTGCTGTTAGGGCCCTCTCTAAAGTACTGAAGAGCAACAGTGTGTCTCTGGAGACTAAGGTGCATCTGATACAGGCCATGGTCTTTGCAATCACTTGTTTTGCATCAGAGAGTTGGACAATGACTAGGGAGGATAGAAGGAGAATTGATGCCTTTGAGCTTTGGTGTTGGAGACGAGTATTGAGGGTACCATGGACTGCCAAGAAAACAAACAGATTCATCCTTGAGAGGGTTAAACCGGGCTGCTTCTTGGAGGCAAGGATTCTGAGGCTTCATCAGACATACTTTGGACATGTTGTAAGGAGAGTCCGGTCCTTGGAGAAGGAAATCATGCTTGGGAGGGTGGAGGGCAGGCGCAGGAGGGGAAGACCCTCTATGAGGTGGATTGATTTGGTGACTGGGGTAATCAGAGAACAGAGTTTAGGGCTGTTGTACATAGGATCGCTATGAGTCGCAAGTGACTTGATGGCACATAACAACAATAACAACAAATAAAATAGGAGTGAAACTTCAGGCATATTCCATCCTGGGCAAAATTCCTCTACATTTGTGAACTTCTGAGGTCTAGGACAGCAACTATCCATTTCTACAAGGGTAAAGCAGGGACAAGACAGACATTTCCATCCCAAATGGGAAAAATTAGAGTGAATAAGAGAGAACAGGTACTAGACAAGCCCCAAACCCAGCAGAACAAATTGCAACAGCTCCCAAGACTAGAAAATATTCCTGTTTTCTGAGACCATCTGGGTAATGGCCTCATTTGGTGTTGGTAGGCTTTTAGATTCTGGGTGCAGGCCCCCAGCCCTGAGCTCTGCTCCCATGTCCACTAGGAGAGCATCTCTTTTTCTTTGGCTTTGGGCAAGGCAACAACTCCATTCTCCTAGTGACCCATGAGAGTGGTGACCCCCTACCCTCAACCATGGCAGGTCCCATTTGGCCCTTTATGGCATGGCAGTGCCACCATTCAGTATGGGGGTGGGTTAGTACCATCACATTAATAGCACCTCTGTACTTCACTGGTGAAAATTCTGATACAGTAGAATTTCCCAAATTTTGAGTGAAAGGCATGCATCACCCTTATGTTTCTACAATGTTGTGTGTGGAAATTGCCTTGGATAATAACTTTGATACCTTACCCTCGTGTGGCATGCTCTGTTTTGCAGAAAGGTATTGTGACCACCATGCTCGTGTCCCCCTTAGAACCCAATAAGGTGTCTGAGCGACATCATCACTTCTAACTGCAAGGAGACACTATCTTCCACAGCACCGAGCACCAGCAGTCCAGGGATCAGAAGGCCTGCTTACCAAGCCTAATCACCACTTACTAGTATGTCCTCACAGTCTGTTTCCTCAGCTGGAAATTGAAGGGTGGCAGCAGACTCCTATAGTGTTCCTTTCTGTAAGTGTTTACCCAGCACTATTTACCAAGTGCAGAGGAGATCTGAGAGATGAGGGTCAGTAGGATGGAGGACTATCTCAGTCATTTCTCCTCTGAATTAACTGCATTCTCACCCTGCAATCTCTTTAGTCAACTGTATCATTTTCCTTCAAAAAAATGTTCCACAATCCTGCTTGAGCAATGGGGTAAGCTTTGGGCTGTTAATCAAAAAAGGTCAGTGGTTTGAATCCATCAGTTGCTCCGCAAAAGAAAAGTAAGGACTAATAGTGGCCTGGAAGCAGGAGCGGCATCCACTTCTTTTTTTTTTAAATGTGTGTACCGTCAAATCAGATCTGACTGGTAGAGGAGGCGATTGTTCCTCCTTCTTCAGCAGAGCATCTGGTGTATTTGAACTGCGCAGGCATCCACTTCTGAAATAGCTTGCCTCCAGAAACTCTATGTATGAACAGTGCTCAGGGCTTTCATTCATAGGGTCGCTATGAGTCGTCTACAACTTGACGGCACCTAACAACAATAACAATGACAACATAGAGAGAGCTACATTGGCCTAGTGGACAGAAAGTTATGCTACCAAGCCGAAGGTGGGTGATTTTAATCTGCGGCCCTCAGGCCGGGTTCAAATTGTTTTCTGGTCAAACATTTTTCTAGGTGGTATAGCACTGGTCTGTGCATTGCTGTACAGAGGTAACTCGTGGTTGCTGTGATGCTGAACACTGTGACACTAATGTGCCAAATGTGCTAATGGTTACCCATGGTGGACAGTATTTGCTGGAGCTTCCCGACTAAAGCAAGCCAGGAAGCAGGAGCGTCATCCACTTCTGAAATGGCTTGCCTCCATAAACTCTATGTATAAACAGTGCTCAGGCCTTTTGTTCATAGGGTTGCTATGAATCGTCTACAACTTGACAACACCTAACAACAACAACACAACAACAACAATGGTGGCCTAATGGTAAGAAACTGTGTTGTAATCCCAAAGGCACGTGGTTTGAATCTGGGGGAGAAGAATGGGCAAAGTACTCCCGTGCAATTAACTGCATCTGAAAACCAGCTGCAGGGTCAGCTATGGGTCAGTTCTGACTCAGTTGTAAAACAACATGTTCCAACATGGAAAAGTTCTAGTCTCATAAAGCCTATCTGTGACATTCCACAACAGGGTCACTTGGAGTTAGAAGTGACCAAATAGCAGTGGGTTTGGTTTCATGATGTTATC